TGATTCGTTTATTTATTTCACTGTTCAGGTGCATATTCATTTTTGCGGTTAGATCAGCTAAATTCCCCATTAAAGTTGTTTTCAAGTTATTTATTTCGTTATCCAGATTCGCTATCAACAGCTGCACTTTTTTGTTGAGAATCTCTACATCAAAATTAAAATTACTCACAGTACTTAGTGTATTTGCAAGTTTATCAATTTGCTTCTGCTTTAAAGCCATTTGGTTTTCTACATTAGATTTTACAGAATTAAACTTATTATCCCACAATCTATCTGCATCCGCAATGTTCTTGTTTAACACTTTCAATGCATCAATGAGGTTATCAGATTTTTTATTAAAATTTTCAACAATCACATCCGCGTAGTATTTGGTGCATACATCGTTTTTTTCAGACGGTAATGATACATTGCAAATTCTATGATTCTCCAAATCTAAACTCCCATCTTTGGTAAAATTAAGTTGTTGCTGTTTCAACAACATTGATTTAAATGCAGAGGTTGAAGGAGACGAGGAAAGATTACTTCCACGAGCACGTCCGAACACATCTATAGGCATTTTGAAAGTGAAATCATTTGCAATAAATACGGCAGTAAATAAGATCTTAATAGATAACACCAGCTTCACGTAGTTCCTCTTCTATTGAACGAATTTCATTTATATGTGTGGTATTCCCAGCTTTTACGGAAGCATGTAATAAATTTAATCTCTCTACTAATTCATCAAAAACGTTATAATAAACGTATTCTGTCACAAAATTATCATTATACAAACCTCGACCAGATTTTTTTGCTGGAAAAGAGAGAGTCGGAGTTAAAGTATTAGGCACACTATAAGTTCGTTGTTGACGCATTAGTGTGGTTCTGGTAGGTTTAATCGATGACGTTGGTGAGGACGTATTTCTACTCGAAGATAAAGTTGGTGAAAAACTGGGAGATGATTCGTTATTAGTATTAATTGTTTTAGATCTTTTCTTTTCTACAAAGTATTCAGTAATCTGTGGACTTGATTTTGACTTTTTTTTCTCTGCTTTTTTTGAAAACAGTGGTTGTATATACTGAAGATATTTTTCACCTCTTGACCCTTTAATCTGTTGTATAGGATCGTAATCTCTCTTATGGGCATTTGAAATTTCCAACATTTGCTTATAGAGTTTACGATCTTTATCATTAATAACAGTAGTCTCATTGTCAGGGTTTTTACTAAAAAGTAGTGTATAAAGCCCATCGGTGGCTGGAAATAGTTGATTATTTAATTGAAAATCTCCATTTTCTGTTATTTGTAATATCAAATTGCCTAAGTGAAACTTATTCGTTTGCAGATCAAATCTAGGCCCGTAAACTTCATCGTTTTCTTCATTTAATACTTTTATAATAAATGGTTTTGCTACATTTGGAAACTGATTGAGAAAATCTTCAAAGACTTCGGGTTGTTTAATATCTGAGAGATTTAATTTTGGTGTGGTTTCATATTCAAATTCCATCTCATCGTCTTCTGGTTTGTATTCAAACACTTCGTCGTCTCTTTCCTCTAAATTATTGTCATGAGTTTCCTCGTCGTCGTTCTGTCGACTCTCCTGCTCTTTATCATCATTCATCATCATCATGACATCATCATCATCATCATCATCATCAGCATAATCTTTTTTTCTTCTGTTAGTGCTTGCTTCTATCGACTGCTTTGTAGGTCTGGGTGGTAAAAACGAAAATTCCACTTCTCGTCGATTTTCGTCGCGACCATAAGTTTTTACTCTTTTACTCGTAGGTGCAGTTGGTTGCTGTTGTGGTTCGTTATTTCTTCGCAGAATTCTTCGTTGTTGTGGTTCCTTTTGGCTATATTTATCGTCTAGTTTTGTAGAGAGTTCGTTAAGAGGATTAAGAACTGGTGTAAATAATTTATTTAATGCAGCATCTTGCTCTTTTATGCCTAGCGTTAAAGCCTTGTACTTTTTTCTAATAGCATCCGATACTTTAATAATCCTACGTTTAGTGCGAACACTTTGATCATTGGTAATAGGTCTATCCATATTGAACGTTCGATATAAACTGCGGCAGTTCATTTTTCATGCTTTATTATATCTTAAATGCTTTACAGAAGTACAGAAATATCTGTTGTACTTAATAAAGTACATACATATCCACCTGTTTTTTTTTTTTTTTTTAAACTGAACTGATGCTGTTTTGGAAAACAGACCTATTTCTCCAAACAGTAGGTACCTGTTATCATATCACACCTGTTTATTGGATAATGTACTGATCAAATCCTTTACGATATCGACCTTTGTTTAGCTCAGATTCTTTATCGATAACAAGAAATCCATATTTATCCCTCCAACAAATTGTGCATATTTTTTTAAACTGACCAAAATTCATATCGGTACCTACGTGATCTTCATAAATGTGTTTCAAATTTCTTTCGTCTTGTTTTAATAACACCAATAAATTTGTATTATCTCTTATCAAATGTTTCGGGATTCTCGTGTAAGTCTGACATAAATAAAAACAATCGATGTTTTTGTGACGTCCCATAGAAAAATATCTTCTAATATTATCCTGCTTATCACAACTTACATCGTCAAATATCATAACTGAATTCGATTTTGCTTCTTTGGGGTTAATGATTTGTTCATTATCTTCATATTGGTAATATCCAATTCCTTTCACTCTTTGTAATACTTGTTGTAGTAACTTATATTTTGGTTGATAGAGTGACTTGCAGTAAATACATATATATATTTGTAAATTTTAGTCCGTTCGGATCAAACAATAATGATAGTAATATATTTGTTTTACCACTTCCAGATGGACCACAAATAATAGATCTAACAGATTCAGGAAACAAAATACCATGTTTTCGCCGATGTCTATGATAGTTTACGCTCTTGTGTTCGTCGTTGTCTTCATCATGATTTGTAATCGCTAAAGACGTACCTTGCCTTACGATGCGCATTGCAATTAATGAACAATATTAGTGAAATATATAACATATATATGAAATACTTTGGAGCAATTTTAATTTAGTCTTATGTTGTCTTTGTAAGGAAGAGGTTGCCCAGCAACGCAACTAAGAATTTACAATTCGAACTCGATATATTTACATTAGTACTGTAGACAATTTATTATATTATCCTTCGTGTCAGTCTATAGTAACAAAGCTAATCGTATATATTACAAGAGATAACCGAATCAAGTGTTTTTTATACAAAAACTCACAATTTATAATACGAATGAAAAGAAAACTCGGTATGACTGCTACTAGGGCTTCAGCATTAAAAAGAAAAAAATCAAAACTCACTTTTCATCAAGCTGTTTTGAGACCGTCAATACAAAAAAACACTGGTGACGGTATTAATACTATACAAAGTGCATTCAAAACTGCTCAGTTAGCTATCAGAAAAGCCGGAGGTCGAAGGCAAATTAAGATACCTCGTGTTCTACCAATTAAACAGGGTGGATTTTTACCACTTCTACCACTGATATTTGGAGGATTATCGGCTCTTGGAGCACTGTCTGGAGGCGCAGCTGGAATAGCCAAAGCGGTGAATGATGCAAAACAAGCAAAAAAAAATTGGACGAAGAACAACGTCACAATAAAACAATGGAAGATATAGCAATTGGAAAACAAGGAAGCGGATTATTTTTACGAAAACGTAAAGACGGTTACGGTTTATTCCTACAAAACACATCAAAAAACTATTGGTAAAGCTACCCAAAAGGCCCTTATCGGATGAGGATTTGAGAAAATATGCGAAACTATCAAAAATTTCTAATTTTAGAGGTATATTTATGAGAAATTCATTGCCATCAGCCGGACCTAGAAACTATGAAAAAGCTATAGTTAATTTAGATTCATCGTTTGGTCCAGGCACTCATTGGGTAGCTTATAAAAAATTTGGAAAAAATGTTTTTTATTTTGACAGTTATGGTAATTTGAAACCACCTCCGGAGCTAATACAATATTTTAAAAATTGTAAGATATACTTTAATCAAAAACAATATCAAAAATTAAAATATAATTGTGGACATTTGTGTTTACAATTTTTAGCGAGTAGAATAAAATTACTATAAAGGAATCTGTCGCTTATTTTTCTGCCTCAGTGTTCACTATGCATACGACGTTTTCACTTGTCGGTAATACAAGTAGACTAAGCGCTACTTATAATCCTGTGATTGAACTTGATCCAGACTACGAATACTCATTAGCTCTTATAGGATTTCTGACCACAAATAATATTCCAAATATCGAGGAAGGAACAAACAAGTTCTATTATTTTAAAAAAGGCGATAGTAAGGAAAACGTGATCACTTTTCCAAAGGGGGCATACGAAATAGATGCAATAGAACAGTATATTCAGAATTTTCTCTGTCCAGAATGTACTAGCGACAAAGAACGATCAAAAATTTTTTCTCTTAAACCTAACCTTAACACTTTAAAGTGCGAACTCAAGAGTATACATCGAGTCAATTTTACCCACAGTGATAGTATAGGAAAAAGACTCGGATATTCAGAAAGAGAGCTACCTGCAAACACTCTGCATGAAAGCGATGTACCTGTAAATATTATAAAAGTGAGCACGATTCGAGTCGAATGTAATATAGTCACTGGATCCTATTATCAAAGTAAAAGATCACATACCATCTACGAAACCGCTATAACTGTCAATCCAGGAGAGCAAATTTTTATTGAACCAACAAATCAAATATATTTGCCGCTCATTAATAAATCTTTCATTAGTAATATAACTCTCGACATAGTAGACCAAGACAACAACTTTATTGATTTTAACGGTCAAGAAATTGTAGTTAGACTAGCGCTAAAATTTGAAAAAAAGTAATCATGGGATTGATATACAAAGTTCTTAAAAGAAGAGGATTTTCGCGTTACACTTCAGTATCGCAACAGTCACCACGGCAAATACCGGCAGGAGAAGAAGAACCGTTATTCTCATCACAGCAGTCATTATCGTCTCGAAGTATAAACATTCTCAAATCTTTGGGGTACCATGTCAGAAAAACTTCAAATATTCGAACAACCACGAGTGGATCACAGCATAATTAGAGAAGAAGAACATACATACAACCCGGAAGCACGTTATTTGGATGTAAATGACGAAATAGATATAATTATTAATCAAGAAGATCTTATGATACCGTTATCGGAATGCTATCTTGATATTGATGGAGAATTTGACCATGACGATCTTTTGCCTAATAACATACCACCTTTAAATGGAAATATTTATTTGACAAATAACGCTGGAGCGTTTTTATTTGAAAGCATTACTTATGAACTTAACAATAAAGAAGTTGATGTAGTACGAGATGTTGGATTATTATCAACCGTTAAAACATTCTTGTGTTATGGTGAAGATGAATCAAATGAGTTGGGTGGAGCTGGTTGGGCTGTGGATGACCACGGAATTAAAACATTTAACGTTGTAGATAAAACGTTTTCACTGAGAATACCTTTATCATCTTTGTTAAATTTACCTTACGATTATCATCGCGTAGTTACTGGCAAACATAAATTAAGATTGGTACGCAGTAAATCTGATGATAATTGCTACGTATCCACAGGCACTAGGAGAGCAAGAATTAATATAAAAAATATTGCACTGATAGCAAAACATGTCTATCCAAACGATGAAATGAAAATACAGATGTTGAATAAAATCAATAAAAGTAAGGCTATATTGATACCATTCAGAAAATGGGAAATTCATGAACTGCCCATTCTTCCTAGATCTAAAAATGAAGTGTGGAAAGTGAAAACCCTGCAAAGTGTACATACACCTCTTTATTGTATTGTATTTTTTCAAACTAATAGGAAGAATAATCCCCTGGCGGATGCAACTAAATTTGACAACATCAACATCAGAAGCATACGTCTACACTTAAATTCAAATGTATATCCATACGAATCTTGGAAATTAGATTTTACAAAAAATCGTTACAGAGAAGCGTATCAAGCATACTGTAACTTTTATAAACAGTTTAATGATCAGGATAGAGCAAAACCGATATTAAAATATGATGATTTTAAAAGACGCTCGATATTCGTTTTAGATTGTTCGAAACATCCCGAACCCATTCGTTATGCAACTGTAGACGTATCACTTGACTTCGAATCGGACAACGATTTTCCCGAAAATACTAAAGCCTATGTAATTATCATTCACGATGCCATCATAGAGTACATACCAATGCTGAAAACTACAAGAGAACTTATTTGAAACCGTCCATGTGTGCTACAGAACATAAATAAACATAAAAATATCTATTTCTGTGTCTGTTTACAAAAAAATGATTGTTTAAAATACGATATCAGTATGTGATTAAATATGTCAACACACCAAATTTCGTGGAAGCAAATGAAGTTATTTGAAGATTCTTACTATAAAGAAGTCTTTGTGTGTGATTTCAATGTCTCTACATCGATTTTGAATTACAAACTCTTGGTGACTTTCGACAATGGCATTATTTGTGAAAGTGAATCTAAAACAATATTAAACCCAAATAATTATGACAATGAAAACTTGAAAAAAAAATGTGTGTATCGACACGATGCCTCGGACATTCTATTATAATTGTTGAATTTTTCGGTTTTTTTTCGATAATTGTGATTTATGAATAACTTAGCTTTATACTAAGACATATATTCCTTGTATGATCAAAATATATATATATATATATATATGTAAATAAATAAATAATTAAATAAATAAATAAATAAATAAATAAATGAATACATAAATAAATGAACAAATAAATAAATAAAACTTTTTTAACATTTTTTTTTTACCTAATTTTTTTAATTCGTTTCGACTACAAGCCAGGTTGGCCGAGTGGTCTAAGGCGCCAGACTTAAGTTCTGGTTCGGAAACGGAACGCAGGTTCAAATCCTGCACCTGGCAGTGTTTCATCTATTTTTTCAAAATTTATATTGTAATACCTAAACCGAATTACCAAAATTCAAAATTCCTAAAGCGCCATCTGCTTTCAAAGCACGCATTCACAACTAGAATTCTAAAACCAAAATTCAAAATCCCTAAAGCGCCATCTGCTGTCAAAGCACGCATTTACAACTAGAATTCTAAAAACCCACTCCGAAGCGACATCTACCCTCAAATAACCCAACCGAGATTCGAACGGTGGTGGTGCGCAACCAGCAGCGCGGCTGGCGTTCAGCGCGTCACGAGACCACTGACGTCAGCCCTGCTTATATACTACTCATAGACAACAGACGACATACAAACACGAACGGGAGACCTATTTTTTCATACTCTAGAGGTCATGAAACGTCGGAAACAAGAAGTGGTTTACGCTCAGTAAGTAAAAACTACGAGGTCCAACAATTGTGGTACAACACTACAGTAAACCACAAAAGAAACACTAGGTACCTAAAAATCCATCCTCAAAGAATAAATGAAGCAGGAAAGATGCAATCTAACCGATGAAAAAAATGTGTCTAAAAATTCCACTTTTCTAAAAAATTATAAAATTTGATTTTGCAATTTTCGTTTTGTGATAACCTGTATAAAGTAAAAACCAGTGGCATAAATAACACCTAACACCATGCTTAATTTCGACTATTTCTGTTTATACTTTGAAAGCTTCCGACGAATGAGCACGTTCAGATTACAAGTATCATCAGTTAAATTGATTTTGTCTCGTCAACACAGAGGAGAGGACTGATTAATTAATGAACTACACTCAGATTTTTTCCCCAAAACACTCATAAATTTTGAGAACATTAATTGGGCAAAGTGTGAGATGACGGACAAATTTTGATTAATGATTTACCATGCTGTTGCAGTTTCAAGGTTTTAAAATAATTTTGATTGTTTTTCCAAAAATCTGGATGCCAAAGGAAAACTCAACATGGATTCATAAATTAAACGTACAGGAGCATGTTGTTTTATAAAATTTAAAGAAAAGGAAGTTTATTCATTCATTTTTCGGGGAGGCTGTAAAGAAAAAAAATTTGATTAAAGATTTATCATGGTTACGATAAATTTAAAACGTTTGCAAAATTTCAGAGCATTCAGTTTTGCAGTTTCAAAGTTAAATTGCAAAATGTGATACAATTTTGATTTTTTTTTCCAAAAATCTGAATATCTAGGGAAAAACTCAACACGAATTCATAAACCATATACACAGGAGTATCATATTTTATAATATTTTAATAATGTTTATTGATGCATATTTTGGAGATGACGTCAGCCTATTGTTGGTGGGCATGATTATTCAAATTTTGCTTATCGTTTTATTATTACACATGATGCACATATAAAATTTGGCAACAATCCGTCCAATAGTTTCGGAGATTATCGGTCTAATAAAAATCCGGACAGACGGCAACGAGAGGCCAATTTTTTGTACTCTAAGGATTTTGAAATGCCGAGAAAACACAAAAGTAGTCAGTCATTCGATGGACTCGATGACAATAGTTTCTTAGCTTATAGGTACGCTTAGGAAGTAAAAACTAAAACCGAAGATAATCAAAGAATCAAAAGTAACACATAAATGAGGATTAAATAATAGATATTATTTATATTATTAGAAACGTAAGTTAACGAACAAAAAAAAACCTCAAAAATGAAACAACCAAGGAAAATCTAAAAGGAAATGTTAAAATCCGGCATATCGACAACATGGAACGAATATTTCGAAATCGTAGCACTAAGACAAGCTACAACTACAAATGACAGACGGAGAGGAAAAAGACGAACAATCTACAAAATTAAAAATAAACGCAAGGTAAACTACAAGAGAAGAATTTAGAAAAAAAAGGCAAATCTACAGGGACAGAATTACTAAAAGAAATAAGTACGAAAATCCTCCATTGCCTAATCAAATAAATATGTAAGAGAGGGAGACAAAAAAAAAATGAAAACTTGGGGACCTATTATACTTACTACTAAATTACGAAACTTAAGAAAGACTGTTGTTAAAACGATGTTTGATCTATATACCTATGTGTTTGTGATAATTTTAAGTTAAAAATTTCAGAAATGCACGCTTTAGTGCTTTCTCTATCGGACCATTTTTTCGGATTTTTTCACACAAATTAAGTGTGTGTAGTTATTTTTAACATTTAGCAACTAAAATGAGTCTTGGAAAGCAGTAAAATAACATAAAAGTGTTAATTCGACTAACTAGCACCCCAATTTACAGAAATTTAAGGTAAAAATTAGGTGTCCAAGCATTGATAAATGAATCTCTATTGTTGAAAACACTGATAACCCAACTGCTTGTGTAAGTTGAGTTCCGTATCAGTCTGCTTTTACGGTGTACAGATAGCATTAAAGTATCGAGGTTGATACATTATATTTTTGTGAGATAATCTTAATTGAAATAGAAACGAAACAACGTAATACACTAGAGGACTGTATTTTTCCATTAAGATCGAGTCAATTTTAATCAAAGTGTGAGAACGGCACACATGTCGCACTTCAAGTTTGAAGCTTTTACATTTGGAGTGTTGATCTGCAGAATAGTGCACTTTGTGGCTACGAGCAAAAACTATTGTAGCAAATAATTGTCACCTCGGTGATAGTAAATTTTGAGCTTTTTTGGTTCTAGAATATCTGATTTTAATTAGGAAAAATCCAGACGTCCATTGATTATTATTTTTGTAATAAAAAAAGTATCTGATTTTTGTAATTTTAAACAGTCCAAAGAGAATATATACACAAATTTGCTAATTCACTTTAGCAACACTTTATAAACTTTATAGAGCCACGTCTTGAAAATAGCATTTTCATTTTTTTCACGTTTCCGTCTGTGTGTCATCTGTTTGTCTTTTACAAAATTTGTGTAATCATCTCTACAATTAATTTGATCATATCACCTCAAAATTTTGCATGGTAAATACCACTCGTATTTAAATTTTATGAAATAACATACTCCTGCACTTGTAGTTTATTAAACCGCCTTGACGATAAATGTGCTTCTAACAATTAATTTACATTTAAAATATAAAAGGCATACATTTTTATCAGCGCTTTTGGCCCGTAGCCACGTGTTTCGCATTCATCTCGGCGTCGGCACGCATCGATTCTCGCGCCTGGATGCACTCTTTGCTCCCACCCTGTAATTATATAAGGTCTGATCTTTATGTGCGGCGATATGTCAAAAATCCCAAGTATTCATGGAAATGACAAAGTAAATGAAACTTTCCGGGCGGTTAGCTGCAGACCGGGCTGCCATCGCCAGAATTAAAATTCCCCCTTTTGCAACTTAATTACTCACATGACGTAAGATTGGATTTTAATTAAAACGCGAACCTCCCCGCAGCGTCATTTTTGACGTAGGCGTCCAAAGCCGGATTTATTATCAGGCCGGCGTTTAAAGTAAACATTCGATAAATTTAAACCTGCACAATTCCGGCTGATTGCGATCAAAGTGGCGGATCAAATAAATTTGATTGGATGACGCGACGGTTTCGATAATGCCCGGGTCAATATCGCACGGTCCGGCCCTGCCCTTGACGCATTTCCACGCCTGTCCGGCCCTAATTGCTATTTATAGCTTCGCACCACACAATTCTTCGACAATTGCTGTTCTGACAACTTGACTAAGTGCCACAATTAAAATCTTAAGATCGCTTACAATGGGGTGATGCCACCCACGATCGCCGGTCTAAAACAACGAGTTCGCCGTTAGATACGAAGAAATTAAAATTTATGAGCGTGTGACTGCCATATGGTGGCAACGGTGTCCAATGCAGCGCAAGGGAGGCCCAAGTGGAGGGACGGATTTGAATAGGGCGGCGAGGGAGGCCCAGTGTCGCTGACATTCCGTTAGAATATGCTTTTGAATTAACTCATTTATAGCCATATTTTACAAGCGGAAGTCGATGAGAATGCACCGGTCGATAACGTCAACCTGTCGACTATTCATGCCAGAGTAAAAATGTGAATGTCATTTTGCTGGGGGAGTATTAATGCGCCCTTTGGGGCGTTTGCAGTTTTTAGCTATAATTCAAGCAGCCGCCGGCGATATTAACGCGGCATTTTTAAAACCTGATCTTATTGCTTTAACTCAGGATGAGACAAAATGTACACTGCTGAAATTTCAAAGAACTTTAGATTTTGAAGCTTTTTAACCACGCTTTCGCAGTTTGCAATGCTTAAAGTAATGATTACCTAAACCAAGCTTGTTTAATTAAATAGAAAGCGTTCCAAGAATCAAAAGACTACATTACAACATCGAAAATACAAAGCTACGC